GGTAAAAAAAAAACATTTTCTTTTTTTAATAAAATTTGTTAATGTTAAAAAAAAAAAATTTATCTAATTTAAATCTTTTATGTTGAGCCGTGATGGCTCAGGGGATAGAGCATTCACCTTCCAATAAGTTGAGCCATGTTCGAATCCCAGCGATGGCTGATAGATAGGAATTTCGTACCCGTATTGCACATACCAGTGGTAGACGGATCACGGGTTATAGTTCTCTTGCCGTCAGGTTACTAACCGTGGGAGGTTTTCCTCTCCATGTAACCCGAATGCGGGTTAGTTCCATCAAAATCTTCCACAAAGACAAATTGTTCCAAATATCTAAGAGTTCCCTCGTCTTTTGGATTGAGCTCAAAATAACTACACTACAGAGTTCAACAGTAATAGTCCCAAACCCAAAACAAAATCTAATTTTTCATGTTAACATCTGTACCAGATTTTTAGCTAAAACTCCGGTTTCCGAATTTTTTAAACAAATTTGAAATCCCCCCCCCCGATTTTTCCAGACCCACCCTAGAGGCCCACAAACTCTAGTGCAGGGGTGGCCAACCTACGGCTCTTTGAAAGATTATTTGTGGCTCTCCATAAATGTTCCAGAGTTCCCTTTTCATTTTTGTGCTATTATATTTCAAAAAATTATTATCGCTCCGTATGTGTTTTAAAATGTCTTCTAAATTACTGAGAACAAATATGAAAGACTAAGTGCAACTTCGTTCAATTCAAGGTGAGTTTTCCATTTCCAATGTAATAATGACGCAAAAAGCATCTGTAGAATTAGAATTAATAGAGATTTAAGCTCTACAATTAAAATATAAGTCGACGTCGATTACTGAATATTGGAAATTTGTACCAGAATCGAAGTATCTTGAATTAAAAGAGGTTGCTTGTCGAATTATTTCAATATTTGGAAAGACGTACTTATGCGAATCATTTTATTCCACTTTAAAATTCATGAAATCCAATCACCGATCAGTATTAACTAACTACCATTTCAAAAAATTACTGAGAAGTGCTGTCACCCATTATTCACCAAATTTTAAAGAATTATCAAGAGAAGTAAAATAAATGTGTTTAAGTTTTAATATTTAAATTCAATACACATATATTGTACTTTTACTCAATAAATATAATTCATCTAAAGAAAAATCTTTTTTAATACCTTTTAAATAAGTATTTAATTGCGGTTCGCGAAAAATTTCCAACTTTGAAAAATGGCTGGACTATCAAGGAGCTTGGCCACCCCTGTTCTAGTGCATTAAAAATGATTCACTCAGAACCATTAATAAGGTTGTTAATTCTTGTTTTCCCGCTTTTTTTTTAAAATTTTAGTAAAATAAATATTTTTAGTTATCAAAGCATTTAATTGTCATAGTTTTTAGAAACAAATTGGAGGATGAGAAAATTTAATGATAAATTTCTATTTCTTTCACTGCACCTCTTCAGCTTCAGAGTGAGTCAAAAGACAGCACATCATTTCTGAGAATTAGCATAATTAACTGTTCATTAAACTACTACAAATAAGAAGTTGTTAATAAAACTATGTAAACCTAGTAAAACCTACGGTGGCGTCTTGAAAACGAAAAAGTCAAAAGACAGGCATTTATCAATTATTACGATTTTTTTATTGTTTCTCTAATTGATTTACCAAAGAAATATTAACTTACTTAGCCACTGGTTCTTTTAAAATTTGTATTTAATTACAAAACAATTATGAATATTGTGAAGGCATATCAGGCAGTTTCTGAAATTTTGCACTTATTTTCAGCTCTAGCATAGCTATTAAATTTAATAAGAATTTTATTTGGTTTATTAATTTACTTCCTAACAGCTTTTAGCTCTTTTATGGACACATAGCTTCCAACAAGGATAGAAAAAAAATCCAGCAGATCTTACGAATATTAATTTCATTGTAACAAAAATATTTTACATATAGGGAATTTTATTGCCATCAAAATACAAAACCTTTATTATACTAATAACTAGAAATAGTAATTAATATTTTCCATTCATGATTGACATTAAATGAACTTGAATTAGAAGCTTTTTTTTATAACTCATAATGCTGAATAGAAATAGTCAAGTAATTTATTATTGAAAGGTAAAAGGTTTTTTAATTAATTTATAAAACAAGTTCCGAATAAAAATAAACTTTTAGAACAAAACTAAAAGAAAAGTTTTAAACTAAATAGTATAAATGAGGCTCTTTTCAATATGTATTAGCAATGTTAATTTAAATAAAGCAATAAATTGAGTAAAAGCAAGCAATAAATTGAGTAAAAATTTTATTTGAATAGGGATTTTTTTAGAAAACTTACTAAATTTTAGGAAATTTTTAAAAATTTACAAAAACCAGTAGCCTACTGGTAGATCTAGTAGAGTTGACAGCTATGTGGATATTGATTTTGATTACCTTAGTTGATATGTGGATAATATTGATTAACATAGTTGCTAAGTACATAAAAAAGTTAAAGCTTAGTAGATGGCTTAATCTATAGCATTAGTTGCAAAATCGTGAACACATTATATAAAGCAAAACATTAAAAAATGTTTAACATTAAAAAGTTTGTTTTTTTTAAATATTAATTTTTCCTAATTATGAGGATAGCAAAAGAAGAAAACAGAAGCAAATCTTTACTAAACAAGCATATAAAGTGCCCACAAAATCCTATACAAGGAAAACCACCTTCATTTTTTTACAGACAGCTCCCTCAAAAATAAAATATTTAAAAATATTTTAAATTGTTTTAACTAATTTTTGAATGCTTTTAAGAAATGAAGACTCCATCAAAATTTTAAGAAGATTAAAAAAAACATTTGCATTTTTGGTACAATGGTAAACAATTAGTTTTACCTATATGTTTTTTTAAGTATCTTATTTTTTAGCTTGCTTATAAAACTCAAAATAACAATCAAAACTATCGAAAAAAATTACATTTATATTTTATTAGTTTTAAAATCCCTGTATAATACAAATTAAAAAATGAAACCAATCTGACTTTTTTTTTTTATGAGAAATGAAGTTTATGTGCAATTTGACAATGTTTTTGTAAAATAAACAATAGTTCGTCTGAAGTAAGAACTCCCCTAGCTATTCATCTAGACATGTGGCGGTAACTATGGTAACAAGGTATAAATATTTCAAGTAGGGGTGTGTGGTCATTGTTTAGAGCAGGTTTTGGCTCAGGTTGGTGAGAGAAAAATCTTTTTCGTTGATCTATTATTGGCCTAGAGTGATGAGAAGCTACCCTCCATGAAATGTGCTATTCTAGTGTCCATGGCAGCAAACTGTCTCAGACTTTGTGGCGAGGGGTGTTCTTACCGCAGGCAAATTATATGGGACTCTTCCCTTTGCTCATCAACCTCCTAGGTGGCCTCATTTATCTTGTTTCCTTAAAATTCCAACATTTGGAACCCTTTCGTTACATTAGTCGAAAAAAGTGATGTCACTGGATATAGCAATGTACCACAAATTGTGCACAAGTATTGTAACAGAATTGTATACTTTATTGAACATTTATAACAAAGCAATGGAATTACTTTGTCCCCTTTTATTATTTTAAAATGTTTAGTAAATTTAATAATTAGATTTTTACATGAAAATTTAACCATAGCTGTATTGTAATAGCTTCTTAATTAACTTTGTTGCCATTCCACACAACCAGTAAAAAAACTTGTTTTTCAAACAATTTGAAATACAAGTAGCTATTATTGAATTGTTTGAAGGGCACTTTTCGATTTTTATTTTTGTGACATCAAATACATCACTCCTAAATACTACAGACAGAAGAAACTAGTGACATGGTAAGTGCATTCAAAATACACTTTTAGTTGTTAATAATCCACTATGTTGCTCAATGAAGCATAAATTTGAAGCAGATTACGCCAGTTATCAAACAGTATCCATGCTGACGCCTCTAAAATAGGACGCTCGTCCACACAGGGCATCACGCGAGTACTTGCTCAATGCAGAAACAGGAAAAAATAATAATGAAATAAGGAAAAGATTTAAAACAATATCACAAAGTTAATAAAATTTATATTCTCCCGCAAGAATATTCTGTAATAAGTTAACTGTAAAAAGTTGAGTGATCACTCAGATTTAAAAAAAAAATATTCAACTGTAGTAAAAAAAAACTATTTACGCTAAAAAATATAAAATGTGTGACACAAGTAATAAATGGAGTAGTTTTACTTGTTAGCAATATATAATAATAACCTCACTTAGGGAAAACAGTTCGAATTAAAAATTTTTTATCTCTCCAGATATTTATATTTTTAAAAACGCTAGACTCAAATGTTATGATTTATAACTGGCAACAACTGATCCGTTTATCTTGTTTCTTTTACTTTTGATAAGTCAACCAAGAAAGAAAATGATCTCAAGAGATGAAAAAATTTTTGATGACAAATAGGTAATCAGTATTTAAAGCACCCCCAAAAAATAGAGGAAAAGTTCACAAAAATAGCACCAAAGATAGCAAGAACTTTTGACATGTTATTATGAAAAAGGTTCTCATTAGGTTTACTATTAAAAATTACCCTATTTGCACTTCAAATTTCAACTCATTAGCATACATGATGCTAGTGTAACATACATGTTTCATTCGTACATGTTTTGTCCTACAAGTTTAACAGTTAATGATTCTTGAATTATGGAATGTTAACTTTTTTTTATTTTTATACTCTACGCACCTGCATGTACTTGTTATTTTATATTCTTAAGTCTAAGTTTTTGGGCAGCAAAACAAAATGTAACCAGAGTTAAAAATACGAAACACGCATGGTGGGGAGGGGTCGTGATTTTCGATATATAGAGAAACAAAACTTTTATAAGACTTGAATTACTAATGTAAAGAATCTAGATATTTCCTTCAGCTCAGAATTTTTATTTAATAAAATAGTTTGCAATACCTTAATAACATTTAATTCAAAATGTTGAAAAGTTATGACTAATCTGTCCCTATCATGTAATCTAAATAAGTTGTTTACTGAAGTAAAATCAAAGCAAAATATATATTTATTGCTCTATGAACACTATACACATGACATAGCAGCTGATCTAATGAAATGTTTTAAGTTTTTTTCGCATATAAAAAAGACTATTTTTACATAAACCACTTCATATAAAAGTGTAAATCATTTTATTCACATTTAAAAAGCAATAGCGAATTTAAAATTTTTTTCTTAATGGTGTTCTGCACATAGTCAACAGGAACTAAATACATAAAATATATAGTGTGATATGTACAGATCAATGATACATACTTTTACTGAAAATTATATCACAGTCTTATAAAAAACCCACAGTTTAATTTAATACTGAATTTGCATTACACAGTCATACTATAAGAAGAATCATTTAAAATTTAATCCATGTGAAAATATTGCATATTTGGTGTGAGCAAGCATAGTTTCATTTAAATGGAACTAAAACAGCAAAAAGACATCAAGTTTTAAAACATGTTATATACCATACTTGAACTTTACACTAGTACTATATGAAACGTGAGAACACTTAGTTTGTATGAAATATATACAATGACCTAGATAGTATAAAGTGCTTTTGAAATTACATCAAAATATGTTGTTTTTTATTTTATTATTGACTCAGGAATGCTAATATTTACAAACTTATAACAACAAAACGTCAGATCACAGACCTTCTGTTTTGCACCAAATACTGTACATTATTAAAATAAACTAATATCAAGAGCAATTTATTTCATTTAAAAAAGTGATTTCCCTACAAATAGTTTTTTTTTTATATACTTGGAGAAAATAACAGACGTTAAAAACATTTTAAGAAAGATGCATCAAATATTAAAAATGCTGAAAAGTCTGCCTTTTTTTTAATTAAAAAAAAAAGTCGTCTAATATATATAAAACTTCAAACAAATCCTACGAGGAAATAGCTGATGGCACACGCCATGAACTTGACACAAAGACAGTTTTAATCTTTGGGCATAGCACTTTGTTTAGCAAAATTTGGATTTTAAACTCTGTAAACAGCACACTTATTTCGATGGAAGCTGAGAAATTCATTTGAAATGCAGGCCCAGCCAGCAACATATGTAAGTTGAAAAATAACCTTTGCCTCCTAAGTTTTAAGCGACTTCTAACAAATAATTTACAGGCTATAAACATTCACTTCAAGGTCGGTGATACCTGCAACAAGAGAAAAAATAAAGATAGAAGTTCTTAAAATAAAACTAAACAAAAAAATATATAAAAGGACAATGCAACAAGACTTCAACTAAAAATATACATATATTAAGATAAAAGTTAGTCCAAAGCACAACCGTATATACTTTTATACTTTTTACCATTTAAAATATACTTGCATCTTTTTAAAGAAATTGGATGGTGAAATATATTTCATAAAAGTGAAGTTTTTTACAGTGGCAACACATACTTAACACATGATCGGAAGAGCAAAACAGACACGCCGATTTTCCTTTTAATATGATGTCATTAATCTTCATTCATTATGTTATAAAATTTTTATGTATTCATCATAAACAGATACTAAAGGTATTTTCTTCTTCAAAAATGTTATTATAGTTAGAGTGTAGTAATTATAGTTAAAACAGAATTTCAGACTCTTAATTTCAATTTCAGTGTGTGGACAATATAAAATTTGAAAACATTCTATATTACCCAGATGAATGTGATTCTATACGTGATTACTGGAAGAAATGACCCGAATTTTTTTTTCTCGACAAGTAGCGTTTTTTTTTCTTACATAAGATAAATTTTTAAAAAATCATATTTATACACAAAAGTAGCATTTGTACAATTCGAAAGGGAAAAAACTTTCCTTTTTCACTTTTCTAAAAGGAGGAATTGCACTGATTTTATACAAAAAAAAAAATCTGAAAACTCTTGAGTAATACCCATCTCTATCAATTTCTGAATGACACATATAATAAAATAAAAATCAACAATGATGATAAAAAGCATTTTTAATTTTACATTTTATTCCTTTATGTACGATCACGAGGGAATATGCCTCATAACAGGCAGGACTTAGTTTTATTCACTGAAAAAGTAGTTAACATTTAACCACAGAGACTAAAAGCTTGAAAGCATTATGCAAACATGCATAAAAATCCATTAAAATATTAAATGATATCATACCTTGTAAGATGCCGGCTGTCTTCGTGAACCTCCATTTCCATACTTTTAAATTCATTCAATTCTTTACGAATTGCAGCCTAATTGGGGAAAAAAAGAAATTTTAATAAAGAAACTACAATTTTAAAAATAGAAACTTTTAGAGTATAAACTTTCATATAAATAATATTTGCTGATCAATCGCAGTTTTTAAAAAAACCAGATAACTACAGGATAGGAATATCATTCTCACAATGTAGTTGAAAAATTATAAAAATTATGGTTTTAATATTTTTTTAATGAGTTGCGGAACAAAAATAAATTGCATGAGGGAAATAATTATTCAATATCTGGAAAAGTATAAAAATAAGTTATTTCAAATGGCTTATTTTTATTTGAAGAAAAAAAATCCTTTCACTCTTTTTATTTTTTTAAATAGAATAAGTTTTAATTTTACACAGTAAAAATCTCAGACACTTGTTTAAATATTAAAAGCATTATAAGTAATTTTTGTGAAGTCCAAGGTTAATCAGACCCAAGGTTGGCAAGTTTCNTATTTTTTTAAATAGAATAAGTTTTAATTTTACGCAATAAAAATCTCAGACACTTGTTTAAATATTAAAAGCATTATAAGTAATTTTTGTGAAGTCCAAGGTTAATCAGACCCAAGGTTGGCAAGTTTCTGCTGAGGTGGTTAAAACCACTGGTAGAAACCGGTTAAAACCGGCATGGCAGAAATTCTTTTCTGCCACATTTGTGGTAGAAACTGGCAAAAATTCAGAAAATGACAAAAAAGTAAGTACGGAGATTGACATACAATGGATAATTCATAGGAAAAACAATTAAATGTTAAACTAAGTACAATTTATTTACAAAATTATCAGCTTTCAAAATCAAATATTACATTGTTTGCACTCTGCAATAATCTATAACGAAGGATAAGTTTTGATGCAGTTTCTAAACCTAAACAATTTCTCAATTTGCTATGGAATGAACGAGAAATTTGAGAAAATTCTCTCAAGTCCAGCAGAACTAGCAGGCATTGCCATCAAGGAACAAGCAAGATTTGTAAAAATTTCATCTATTTTTATCTTATCATATTTTTTTAAAACTGGACCACCATGTAGCAGCTGGGGTAGTGGTCAAAACTTGACTGGAAAAATAATCTTCAGGAAATGGGGCTATTTGTTTTGCAAAGCTATGACATAAGGTACAAAATCAGGGTTAATATTGGCGAGTAAAATTCTGGTACTTTCTTCTTGAGCACATGATAATTACAATCCCAAATACTTTGGATGCAGCATATAAGCTAGCAAATGATAATCAGTAACTGCCTGTTTAAATCTGTATGTAAAAAAAATGTCACTAAGCAATTACTAGAACTAATATAGAAGTTTTTTTAGTTTCTGCCAGTTTTTACCGGTTATAACAAGTTTCTGCCACTGGCACGGCAAAAACCAGTTTCTGCCGGCAAAAAGCCAACCCTTATCAGACCTCTAACTGGTATCACTTGAAGCACTTCACATAAGAAGGTGTGCTGCCAGCAATAGTTATTGAAGGGAACTGAACACTTCACTTAATATGGATATTTGCATTTTAACACATAGTACAGTACAAAATCCACTTACTACTATATTGTCCACTTCAAAACGCATCCAAACAGTTTTATTTTCAATATATATAATAATAACTATCCACTGATAAAAGTTTTAAAACATCACTTTTTAATATTTATAATGTATGTATTTAGATACTGAAAATTGAACAAATAACAAGTGGCAGAAATAACTATATTTAACAATATTTAGGACAGAAAATTGTAATCAAAAAATTTAGTCAAAAAAAAAGATATAAGAAATGTGGTCATCATATGGCTTTACCTTTACATTACTTTCAAATTTAAAGTGGTTGATTAAAAATAGTGTATAAGAAATTAAAAATATTACAATTTTAGTGGTTTATATAATCAAATATAAGTGGGACAGCAATTATCCTGCTGCATCTTAAAGGCATGAACAAAAACGTCCTCTTATGGAATAAGAGCAATAAGAAAATAGCTTAAATATTTCCTTTGCATCAAAATTTCCATAGTTCAAATTTGATTTTTGTCCATAAAATCATTAAGTAACCATGGCGTTTATTTTCTCCTATTTCAGGGGTCTGTGTAGAAGAAATTTGGGTCTGTTAACGGACCCTTCACAAAATATCTTTTCATCTTCACAAAATAATTTTTCTTTTAATCGGACCCTTCACAAATTTGTTTATCTTCTTCATTATTGTTTAGTTAATCGAATAAGCCTTTCATGGGGTGAGGGGGAACAGAAAGACGGTTCGAGTAAATTTTTTTTGTAAATAAATAATTGATCAATTTATATTTATTCATAAAAGTAATTAATAGAATATTATGTAAATAAAAATTTCTATCAATTTCTTAAATAAAATATTATAAATTGAAGAATTGTTTACATTTACTTAATGCGTAACACACTAAAAGCGTAACATAACTAAGTTGTAATATTTAAAATATATCAAATGAAATTTTTAAAAATGTTAGTGATTTTGTTTCCATTATTCGTCTGAAATGAATATTCTGTGTTGAGAAGTATAAGCTAAATACCAAATATTTGTATGTTGTATCTCTAATTTAGTAGCAGCAATTGTTGAGCAGAATCTTGTATCTATTTACAATTTAAAAACTTCTTGAAAAGGTTTTTAGCAATTTATGCAATAACAGGACCCTATTTGCACAAATTCACCAAAGCAGGACACTAGTTGAAAGAAAGCGACTTAACGCTTATTTTATATTCCCAAAATATGAGTAGTTTTTTCACAATTTTGCAAAAACAGGACCTTTCACAAAATGTCACATAACCATCAGATTATTTTCATCTCTTCTGAATCAGAAGATTGTAAATTGTCTAGGAGATTTTACTGTATTTTAAGAATTCAAAAATACAGAACTGGTGAGAAACAATGTCCAAAAAATAATATATTTATTACAAAATGGAGCAATTATTCTGTCCCTAAAGCAGCCTCAACGAGTAAGTGGTTTTTTTTTTTTTTTTTTTAAGGGTCACCTGAAGAAGAGCTTTTGAATGAAGAGAAACTAGCGCATCTGTTAAGCAAAATTAGTAATCTCCAGTTTTGAGGTTCACATTCATAATGGAGAGATTCGTAATGAAAGAATTTACAACAAACACTTAATGAAAAATATTAAAAAAAATTTAAAACATAATGGATACTAGTGTAATTTTAGGTACTAGTTGGGGAAAGATATAAACATGAAAAGCGTGAAAAAATGTTTTGAAAAAACATTGAAAGAACAATTAAAACTACTTTAGGGAGTGACTTATTTTTATATAAATGCTTTTTCATGAGATAAAAAGTATCAAATTTAATACTATATAATAATGTATAATAAAAGAACAATCATTAAAATATCGGAAATTACAGCAGTTGAAAATGCTCACATCATTTCAGAAGACAGAAATGTTAATAACAAAGCCTCAATTGGTTTATACTAAATAACACTTCATATAAATGTGAAAGCTGAACATAGAAATCTTGCTTAAGAAAACTTAAACGTTTAAAATTAGTAAATGATCGATCTCCTAAACAGCGAAGAATTCAAATTGCAAACACGTGATCCCAATCTTTATCAATCCATAGATTTAAAGTTATACAAGATTAGTTTTCATGCATTTTGTTAAGTGCTTAATAGAAAATTGTTTGATGACATGGTCATTTTGCCACATGGAAAATCAGAAAATGTAAAAGGAAGAAATTGAAACAATTAGAAAGATGAGATATTCTACTTTATCTCTAGGTGTCAGCCTCGTCCATGGCTTATCAGCTCTTCTGTCATAATCTTGAGCTTGGGTCACCTCCACATAATCATTGAAACGGATGATTTTCCTTTCTTTTAATTCTTCAATGGTAGGTCGAAAACTCAACTGTAAAATTAAATACAAACATTAACACTTCAGATATACAATGGTGTTTCTAAATGAATAATAAAAAGTATTCACTACTAACACAAATTCAATTATTAAATACTGCCTTGGCTATGTTTATGATAATTATATTAAATTTATACTTAAATGTTAGAAAAACTTTTAAATACATTTTATAACTAATCAAAAAACTAATCTCAAATCTTAACTTTTGAAACTATAGTTTTTTAAATAAAATTCTTATAAATCCATCAAAAAATTTTAAAATTTTTAATCTAAAAGCAAAAGAAAATTAGATATAAAAAAAATGTTGGACTCAAGCTTTTATAGTCAGCTTTTTTCTCCCAATTGCCCAATAGCAATTGGAAAAAAATTGCCACACATAAATAAGCTAAAAAGAATAAAATCATGATATAATCAAGGGTGTCTTTCATAACTGAATATAAGTATGAAGAATTTGCTTAACATAACACCTAACATATAATACAAAATTATTGAGAGGTACATAAATTTGAGTAAATAAACTAACAGACATTTATGTTAATCCATACAAAAATTTAAAACGAATTTAATAAAAAAACATTAATATTATATAGATTATTTTTTAACCAAATTGCTTTATCAAAAAAAATTACAGTAATAAACCTGTTTTTATACTGCATATTGTGAAAAACTTTGCTATAACAATTACTTTTTATTTAATCTCATATGCTTGGATAACAAATTGCATTGTATGTAATTAAAATGCTTTTGTTTCTTTTTTTGAGCATTAAGGCTCTTAAAACACTATTATTTTTGTATCATTCTATCCTTAGATCATGTGATACATAAAAGTGTGAACATATAGATAATTAAATTCAATCTGCTCAACTGTAACATACACAATTTGATTATTAACTAAGACATAAATAGTATAATAAGAGAATCAAAAATATATTAATATTTTATTTTAAGGAATTTTAAATGCTGAATTTATTCAAAGCAAAGAGGCAGTTTACTTTGTGAATGGATAAGTGTGAATAAACTCTTCTTTGTGAATGAATATATTCAAATTTGGAAAACATAAAATTAACATGTAAGGAAAGGAGACTTATAATGTGAAATTATTAATATTAAAATTTTAAACTGCGTTGAACTCACTTTTCGAATGAGGGTTTTCTTTTTTTCTTCTTTTTCCTTCCGCAACTCTTCCGCTGACTGAACTGAAAATAATAATAATTTGTTAAAATTTACATTTATAAATAAGAATTTATGTTATAAAATTTCAACAGAAACTACTAACACTTCAAAATATTTCTATGTTCAAGCTCTTCTGGAGTTGGCCGTAAGCTCAGGCGCCTGAAAGATTCAAAACATGTCACACAAGAGAAAATATTTTTTGCAGTTGGGGTTAAATGTATGTGTTAAGACAAAATTTCAAGTTAGTGTGATGTCATCTCTGTTAGTGAAATAAAATAAAAATTGATCTTTAACGAAACAAATTGTTTTTTTGCAAAAATAGAAATTTGATAGATTTTTTTTGATAAAAGACAAATATTATTGTATCAATTTAAAATTCTGTTTTATGAAATCCTTCTGAACAGACATAACTTATCCCAACTTTTTGTAGTAGTAGATGCACTGTCCTGTAATTTATATTATTTTAAGAAACAATATTAGAGTAAAAAAGAAAATCCTTGATATTTTCACAATTCACATTTCCTTTTAAAACTAAAAAGAAATAAAAATTGTTTAAAATTCAACAAATTCAATTTTAATTTTACTTTTAGAAACTAGGATTGTTGGTTTTTAAAAAGAGTAAAAACAATATAAATGATTACTAAAATCACAATAAAATTGAAAACATAATTATAATTCAAAAATAACTGTAAAAAGCTCACAAATTTGATCATAATTGATGATTAATTAAACTCAAACACTATGACAAACTGAAACTTATCTAATCAAAAAAAAAAAAAAAACTTAAAAGCAGCAAGTGGAAAAACTTTCTTTACATCAAAACTTCTTTTACATGTTAAACATGCATGACTACCTGCCCATATTAGTAGAGGTAAAACTAAAAGTAATTCAAAACTAATTCTATTAGTCTACTCATACATACTAAACCCAGAAAAAAAAATTAAGGAATAAAGTTTCAATAACATATGTAATTTTATGAATGCAGTCAATTCTTTTACTTACAAATGGTTAGTATCAAAATATGTTCAATGCTTCTGTTGCCAAAGAAAGCAAAGATTAATAAAATAGTTCCGACAACCTTAAAATATTCATTTTGCATGAATAGTTTTCCTTAGATTTATTGACTAAATACAGTAATACATAAAATTTTAAATATGTGAAAGTAATTTTGTAAAGGAACTTAAGAATCATTAGCACTAAATAGTAACTTCAATAACTGTAAAACAGAAGTTAATAAAATTCTTGTTTACATGACAACAGAATCACAGTATGAATTCTACAGAATCGCTGAACAGCAACAGAACAGAACAGAAAATTACAAAAAGAGATAATATCAAAAACTAAGGAAAATATGTATTTGCAGATTATGCTTGATTTTAACATCTTAATTGATAGTGGATTTTTTTATACAAATTATTTTGTTTGCCCAATAATAACTCCAACTGAAGTTTGATATTTTGAAGAAAAATTTTATTCAGTATAATAAAGCAAGCAATTTACAAAACAAGTAGCAAAAATTCAAGAAAAAAGTTTTAAAAATCACTTTAAACTAAAATTTAAAAAAAGAACAGTGTCTGTAGGCAAATTAATAACGATTTGTCACAACAATAAAGATGTCTCAAAAGCAATGATGAGAAAGCGGCATTGAACTTACCTAGTTAATTTCTTCTTAACATCTTCTTTATTTTCGTGATTTTCTTGTTCTGAATACGCAATGTATATATTTTTATCAATCAATTCCTGAATATCTGGGCGCTGGGCTAACTTCAACGCTAAAGAGTCTTTACGGGCTACTTTGGCTACTCTTCTATCTGTAAACATTTAGAAAGCATTAAAAAATTAAAAGAAAAATATTAACACAATTCCTACAAAAATAGAACAGTACACAAAACTGTTCCTATTCTAATAACATTTATAATACAATAGTCAAGCACATATACACTTTACAAAACTATTTCCAAATGCTTACAGAGACAATAGGATATAACACATTTTTAAATACCAATGGGTATTAGCGCTAAAAGTTTCCTTGCAAAGTTAACTATTTAAAATGACCTACAGGACTCAAAAAATGCGAAATTTTTAATAATAGAATTAAGATAGCGGCCGGAATAAAGCTTTCATGAGCCCAAACTTATTCTTTTAGAGCATAATTTCGATATTTTTAAAACGTAGTGTATGCGTTTTTTTTATTTTAAAGTCTTTACTTATGAGTTATTAGTTATGAGTTTATAAGTACTTAGGCGAGACTACAAACAAAAATTAATTGTAATAATTTTGAAATTTGACGGTAGTAGGAATTTATACCCTAATAACAAAAGCCACACAAATAGTTCAAGATTATTTAAATTATATATACACAGTCAATTCGCTATAACTCGAAGTACGATAACTCGAATATTACTATAACTCTATTTTTTTATGAGGTTCCGACCCTTTTATCTTCAATTTCATGTTAATTATTCTTGATTACTCGAATTTTACTCCCTTTAACGATTTTTTTTTTTTTTGATCTTTTGAAGCAAGAAAAAAAACCTAGGAGCTGATATCTTTTCTCTTCCTTTGCAACACACACACTATGTCTTTCGCACTCTTCATGGAGAAGCTAAAGCTGTCCCTCTTGAAATATGTGAACAGTGGTTAAATGAAACGTTACCAAATTTACTTCAAGGATACAGTTAAAATGATGTTTTCAATATTGATGAAATGGGTTTATTTTTTAAATGTCTTCCAAATAAGACTATGATGTTTAAGGATGGAGGAAATGCATCTGGAGAAAATGCGTCTGGGACAGAGAAATTGCCCTTACTTGCTATCGGAAAATACCAAAATCCTCGATGTTTCAAGAATGTAAAAACTTATCCATTGGATTACAAGTCTAACAAAAAGTTTTGGATGACATCAGTATTATTTGAAGACTATGTAAGAAAATTGGATCGGAAATTCTTAGCTAAAAAAAGAAAACTGATACTTTTTATGGATAAATGCACAGCGCATAGTGATCTACCTAATTTGAAAGCAGTAAACCTGCAGTTTCTCCCGCCAAACACAACAGCAAAGTTGCAGCCGATGGACCAGGGTATCATAAAGTGCTTCAAACAGTCTTATCGTAAATGGCTTG